AAATATCTCTGAGACGATGACCCAACAGGTCACGGGTTGTCTAGTATAACATTAATACCTAAAGAGGGACAAGATTTGACTTTAACAAGAAATTATAGACCAATTATCATTATGGAATAATTTCAATATTTCTGCTAAAATCATTGTGAACAGCTTATAGTCATGTAAGTTGTTCACAATGATTTTAGCAGAAATATCGAAAATAATTTATTCATGAGGCTCAATGTAGGTTTTTACCAAAAAGTCAGCTAAAAAAGACAGTTAAAGACAGTTAAAACTGTATTGGACATATTAGAATATTTGAACCACATAATGAAAAACAAGCCGCATTGATCTTTTCAGATGTGGAGAAGGCCTTTGATAATTTGAACTGGTCTTTCCTGATTAAAGTTTTGGAAGATACGAATTTTGGAGAGAACTTTATAAAATGAGTAAAATTGATTTATACTACATAGAAAGCACATATAATTGTTAATGGAGACCTAACAAAAGGATGTGAAATACAAAGAAACAAGACAAAGCTGTCCATTGTCCCGTCTCCTGTTTATTTTGGCTCTTGAAATACTGAATAGAGATATAAGACAGGATGAGAGGATGGGGGGAGTGAAGATTTTAAAAGCGACTTAAAAGTTATGAGCTTTTGCAGGTAACTTCATGCTGGTTTTGGAAGATCCTTTAAAGGGAATTGAAACATGAATGGGCAAATTAAAAGAATACCTGTTTTGACTACTGATGCGCCATTTAAACAATGGCAGAAGGACATATCTAAATTTGTATGGCAAGGGGAAAAAAACACGAGTTAAATGTAAGATGTTACAAGATGCGAAGGAAAGAGGAGGATTGGGATTGCTTGATTTGAAATTATACTTTGCTGCTTGTTGTTTAGTTGGATGAAAGAACGGATGTTGTTGAGAAATAGAAGGCTTTTGGAGCTAGAAGAACACGATCTGAGATTTGGGTGGTGTGGATATTTGTGGTATGATAAAGCTAAGGTTAATGCAAATTTTAAAAATCATTATGTTAAACGTGCCATATTGAGAATTTGGAATAGATACAAATCCAGTTGTGTCTGAAAACACCTTTGTGGCTATCAGCCCAAGAAGCATTTTATAGCTGAGAAATAAGTAAACACAAATGGTTGCTTTACCATGAGATATTAGATTTTTATCAAGGGGAATGTAAAATAAAGTCAAGAGATGATCTAGTAGCAGAGAGATATGTTTGTCAATGGTTCTCTTATATGCTATTATTAGAAAGGTTTAAGCACTGAAGATGTTACCTAGCTGGGTAACGAAACATTTGCAAGAAAACAACCAAGCTCAGAGAACCCCAAGGACTCCACAGAAAGGTTTAAAGTAGACAAAGTAACGTAGGGCTTTGAACATTGTAAGACTGAATTTGAAATAGAATTGTGTACAAATGATGAATATGTAATTGCTAAAATGTATAAACTTCTATTGAAATATGAAACAGAAGAAGAAAAAGTGAAAGAATGTATGATAAAATGGGCTAAAAAATTTGGTTACAATATACAAATGGAACAATAGGAAAATATGTAGTTGAAAGGACTGATGTTTACATCGTGTTATAACCTTAAAGAGAATTTTTATAAAATGATGTATCGTCGATATATATCCCCAGAGAAATAATCTAGAATGTACAAAGGTAGATCACCATCTTTGGTGGACATGTAGAACAGCCAGAAAATTTTGGATACAAAAACATACTGTAATTCAGAGGATTTTAAAGATTAACATACAATTGAAACCAGAGGCTTTTCTTTTGGGATTGATGGATAGACAGCTGGAAAAAAAGTCATGGAATTTTGTTTTTATATATGACAACTGCAGCAGGGTTATTATATGCACAAAAGTGGAAAGACTTGACAGTACTTACGATGGAGGAATGGTTGGTGAAGATGATGTAATTTGCAGAGATGGCTAAATTGACATCCTTGTTTAGAGAAAAGACAATATTTATTTATTGCTGACTGGAAACCCCTTATGGACTTTTTGCATAAAACAGGAAAAAATGACTTTACGACTTACAGTTTTGATGATTAGAAAAAAATAGATAATAGGAAAAAAAAGAGTTTGTGTTTGTAACCATAGAGTAAGAGGTAATTTTGTATTTATAATTATTCTTGCTTTAAAGGAAATCAGAAGTAATTTCCTTTTATTTCTTCCTATTTTTTCCTTTTGCACTTTTAGTTTTTCTTTGTTCTTCTTTCTCTTTTCTTTTTACTTTATTATGTGTGTGTGTGTGTGTGTATTAGTTCTTGTTAGTTTTTATCTTTTGTTTAAAATTCTTGATAAAAATTATATAAAAAAGGAGTAAGTAGTCCTTCATTTATTCTAGTCTATTCCCCCCAGCCCCTTTCAGTGTTTTAAAGATCACCATTTTTATTTTTAGATGGTACCTAAAAACAAAGTAGAAGTCAATTCAATCAAGTGTTCTCTATATGCCATTCACACAGCACTGGGACACTGTAATCTCTATACTGTACATTTAGAGGGAGCCCCTTTCTTTGACGATATTTAAGTGACTCAAAGAATAGCACCCAAATGTTCTTGAAGCCAACTTCTAGCTTAGGGAAACAATCCATTAGCCCTCAAATACTGCATCATGGCCATCTTTCTCACTGTAATTGCTGCTAATTATGGTCCAGCTAATTATTTTGCCTCTCTCAATGTACTTCTACTTTTCAGCTTTGTATGGCCCCGCAGATTCCTGCGAAAGGCGATGTAACGAAAAATATAACCCAGGAGATGACTGCCATTGTGATTATAATTGTGAACAAAATCAGAACTGCTGTGAAGATTACCACATCCACTGCAGAAAAGGTAAAGCATTCTCAGATCAAGCTTGACTAAGTAGATATACTATATTAGTTGTCTTGGCATCAGACTGGAAGTAGTTTGCCATTGCCTTCTTCCTATATATTAAACTTTTCAATCTAGCCACAGACTTAGTACACCCTGTTGGTCTCCCATCCAACTACTCACCAGGTCTGACCCTCCTTAGCTTTTTGAGATTACCCAAGATTAGGAGTAGACTGTCATCTACTGAACCTCCCTGTGGAAAGAGGGGTTTTTTTCATGCATATCCACACTCTCCCAGTCTGTGTAGATTCAACAAGCGACAAGATAAAATGTTCTGTCATAATGCCTTGTTCCAAAGAAGAAATTTAGGTCGTATAGAAATGCTGTATTGTCAAATGGGAGACACATAATCTGGAATGGGGATTTGATATGTTGCTCCTTGTTGCCACAGACTGTTTGGGTCCAGCAGAGAAAGCATGTGGGGCCAGCCCTAATGGGAGGAGGGGCTATACTAGGCTATTCAAGCTAGGTCCCATCTTTTGCCTCCATTTTGAAGGATGGACTCCAGGCTGCATGTCTGAAGCCTCGCAGTCCAGGAAGATCCCAAATAAACCCCAGACGTCCAAGCCATATAGCCTCCGTACACTATAAAACCATTCCCTACTCAGCCAGCCAGCTAGTAAAGGCTGAAAAAGCTTTGCTCCGTGTTCTTTTAAATAAAATGATTTTTCAAAGTGTGAATTCCAGACTTCAGAGCACCGGCAAAAGTAGTAGCAAATGTCAGAATGAGTGCCTGGGTCCCTGCCTGTTTGATGAGATTTTGCTTTAGAGATGCCTTCAAAACCAAAGAGAATTTTGGAGAATTCTCCTTAACAGGGGGTGGCATTTTTGCACTTATTTAGTTACATGTTGGCCAGGCTCTGTGTGCATGTGTATGTGTGTGTGTGTGTGTGTATTCTGACTTTCCTTGTGCAATCATTTCTTCAGCAGCATTCTGGCTTCTCTCACTTCAGTTAAAACCCAAATGGTCTTTTCATTACCAGGCAAAGTAATTTGATTCTGCCAGGCTTTTGAATCCATTAACATCCTGAGCTTGCAGGATACTGCTTATTACACACTTTGGAGTGGCTGCTTGTGTGGTTTATTATTTTAGCATGATGTATTTAAATCACCATATTATGATATTAAATTTTAAGTGCTTGGAATTTCATTGGCTGATTTTAATCTACTGTAAACTCCCCCTAGAAAAACCTGAAGGGTGGCATTCAAATTTGAAAAATCAATGCAAATAACAAATAAATAGTCCAAAAGGGCAGCGTCTAAGCAGTTCAGCTACCTGCCATTCTCTCTGTCCCTCTATTTTTCTCCCTCTCATTTAAAAAAAAGGCATGGACATTACAGCATTGATTTGCTAGGTGGGTGGCCACCAGCCATGTCTATTGGGCAGGGTCGAAAAAGTCAAGATGGTGCCTGCTACCACAGAGTTGAAACTCTTCCCCTTTCATGTACACTGCATGAAGCAGCTGGTGTGATGGAATGGAATTATGAAGGCCAGGCTCAGGGAGATAAGCATTTTCTTAGCTCG